GGGCATGGGGTCAGGAATGGATGTCCAGTAGAAAAATGGAAGGATGCTTTTTTATTAGGTTTACATTGCTGTAGTGAGGGTGGTGGGCATAGGTAATGTGGAATACAGTGTAGTTAAACAGGGCCATCTAAACAGAAACTGTGGTCAGGGGAGAAGGACCTTCTTTTGGGAGAGGAGATTCATTGGATAAGGAACTGTGGTAGTGGTACAAAATATTTAAGTATTTTGAAACATAGGGCACTAGTATTTAAGTATTTTGAAACATTTTTAAGAGGCAAAACTGTTGACATAATGGTCGTTAAAATCTGTAGTCTCAGAATGAAATATGTAAGATAATCCATTGGGGTATTAGGAGAAGAAAATAATAGAATTTCTAGTGTTTTTCTAATCTAAAATGAAAGACAGCTTTCATTTTAGATTAAGCTTTGCTCATTCTTAATAAATGGGTAATACTGGCACCCATACTCTCTGAATGGGTGAAATGGGCCTATGTTACTTCAAGTTCCACAGTTCTAAAGAGTTGATATTATCATCCTCTTTTATTCATTTATGCTATTGCAAACTATTAAAATTTAAATGTAGATTTAGAGATTATTTCATCTAATTTCAATTAATCTTATTCTTCAGTGGACAAATAATTTTAAAAGATTGTTTCAGAAATAACTACGTAGTGATAATTTACTATCTAAGTGCTTCATACAGATTATTCAGTTAAATCTTTACATGATTCTAAGAGGTAGGGTTATCACAAACCCCGTTTTATAGGTGAGGAGACTCATGAACAGATTGATTCAATACTTCCCCAATGTCAGTCAGCTGAACCACCAGATTTTGAACTATACAGTGTGGCTTTAGACGATATATGCTTAGTTACCATGCTGTGCTGCTCTCAAGGCAGGAATTTCCTAAGTGACTTCAAACAGGGTAGAAAGGATCATAATCTTAATACCATAATTAACAAGTAAAGACTGTCTTTACTTTTCACTTGGACCTATATCTGGATCTTTGTGAAAACTGTCTTTTACATCTTTGATTTTTATTAGAACCACATCTCCAAATAACTGAAGAGAAATCAGCGTGTCACATCACTATATTCCATCTATAACCCACAGTTTGCAGATGGGTGTAGTCAGTCTCATTACACTCATCTAAATATTAGTATTTTTCAGCGAAAACAAAAAAATAGGGATATAACTATGCACAAGTAAAATGGGTAGTTCTGTTTTTAACTTTTGTGGAATCAAAGTGTTTTTCATGGTTACTGCACCAGTTTACATTCCTACCAACAAAACATAAAGATTCCCTTTTTTTCCATAGCCTCACCAAAACATGAAATTTCTTGTTGTTTTGATAATAATCATCCAAACAGGTGTGAGATGATATCACATGGTTTTGATGCTTATTTCTTAGATGGTTAGTGATGAACATCTTTTCATGTACCTCTTGGCCATGTGTCTTTGTGAAAATGTCTGTTCAGATTGTTTACCCACTTTTAAATTGGATTGTTTGGTTTTTGCACTTGAACTATATGAGTTCTTAATATATTTTGGATGTTAATTCTTTGTCAGTTATATCATTTGCAAATATTTTCCCCATTTTTAAGTTGCCTTTTCATTTTGTTGATTTCCCTTACTGTACAAAAGCTTTTTATTTTTTTAAGCTTTTCATTTTATTTTTTTTAATTTTTAAATTATTCATTTTTTATTATGAATTTTATTTTTATATTCCCCATACAATTGCAATCCCCTTATTCTGACCCCAATCCCTCCCCTCCCTGCTCCCCACCCCTCATAGAGTGTCTCTGGTTCATGGTTGTTTGTTGATTTTGATTTTCACTTTCTTATAGTTATTCATTTTCTTGGTCCCTTATTTAAGATTCCTGATTTAAGATTTAAGATTTCTAGATTCCTGCTAGTTAAGATTTCTAGATTCCTGCTATTTAAGTTTTCTAGATTCCTGCTATGAGTGAGACCACATTATTCATTTTTAAATAATACTTGCTTCCCACCCCCCAAGGTGTAGTCCCCATAGAGTTTCCTTCACCAATGCCATACCCGTGCACCATCACCTCAGTCCCCTGTGCTCCTCCTTCCTTCCCTCTGATCCCTCTCCCTCCTTCTCCCCTGCAGTATGTCTCTGATTTATAATTGTCTAGTTTTGCTTTGTTGTATTTTGTACTGTTATTTTTTTACACAGATGTCTTATTTGGTTCCCCTGCATACCTGCTGTAAGTGAAACCATCCGATATTTTTCTTTTTTCCTTCTGGCTTATTTCACTGAGCATAATTCCTTTTAGTTCCATCCATGTTGCTGCGAATGGCATGAATTTATCTTTTTTGATTGCTGAATAATACTCCATTGTATGTATATACCACATCTTGATCCAGTCATCTATTTTTGGGCATTTGGGTTGTTTCCAGGTTTTACCTATTGTGAATAGTGCTGCAATAAACATAGGTGTACAGGTGTTCTTTTGAATTAGTGTTTTTGTGTCCTTTGGGTAGATCCCCAGGAGTGGAATTGCCGGGTCATATGGTAGCTCCGTTTTTAGTAGACAGAGGAACCTCCAGACAGCTTTCCATAGTGGTTGGATCAGTTTGCACTCCCACCAGCAATGTAGGAAAGTTCCTTTTTCACCACATTCTCGCCAACATTTGTCGTTTCTTGTTTTTTTGATATGTGCCATTCTTACTGATGTAAGGTGGTATCTCAGTGTGGTTTTGATTTGCATTTCCCTGATTATAAGGGATGGTGAACATTTTTTCATATGCCTGTTGGCCATTTGCATTTCCTCTTTGGAGAAATGTCTTAAATTCTTCTGCCCATTTCTTGACTGGATTGTTTATTTTGTTTTTTGTTGAGTCATTTGAGTTCTTTGTATATCTTTGTGATCAGTCCCTTATCAGTTGACTGCAGTGCAAAGATTTTTTTCCCCATCAGTGGGGTGTCTCTCTGTTTTGGTTAATGTCTCTTTTGCTGTATGTAATCCGAGGTGTTTATCTTTTCCTTGACTTTTTTTGCTTTGGGTGATAAGTCTAAAGATGTTATTGCGATGTATGTCTTATAGTGTTTTATCTGTATTTTCTTCTATATATTTTATGGTTTCAGGTCTTACGTCCAGTTCTTTTATCCATTTTGAGCTGATTTTTGTGCACAGCAAGAGGTAGTGGTCTAGTTTCATTTTTTTGTATGTGATGGTCCAGTTTTCCCAGCACCATTTATTGAGCAAACTGTCCGTGTTACATTGCGTATTCTTTTGTGCAGCAGGTTTTTAATTTGATGTAGTTCCACTTCTTTATTTTTGCTTTCCCTTTCCTCATTGTATATTCTTGACTCCTTTGTCAAAAATTAATTGACCACATGTGCATAGGTTTATTTATGGACTTTGTTCTGTTGATCTTTGTATCTGCTTTTATGCCAATACCATATCTTTTGATTACTCTAACTTTGTAATATAGTTTGAAGCCAGGGAGCATAATGCCTCCATTGTTCTTTTTTTTTTTAAAGATTTATTTATTTATACAAGTACTGGGGTACAGGCCAGAGGTACAGGAGGGTGAGAGAATTCACCAGAGACAGAGTGGGGAAGAGAACAGGCAGGCGGACCAAAGACACTGCTGAGGGGAGCAGCGGGCAAGGCAGGAGAGGTCTGCGGTGCCATGTGGGTTGCTCCCTGGCCGGCCAGGAGGCTGGGAATCGAACCTGCACTACAGAGGCTGCAGACAGCTTCATGGCGCAGCTCTCAGCCCACTGTGCCACTGTGGAGGCCCTCCATTGTTCTTTCTTAAGATTGATTTGGCTATTCAGGGTCTTTTGTGCTTCCATACAAATTTTAGAATTGTTCTATTTCTGTGAAAAATGTCATTGAAATTTTGATAGTGATTGCATTGAATCTGTAGATTGCTTTGTTCCAATAATCCCTTCAAACCTTACGTAAGGAATATCTCTCCATTTCTTATGTCTTCAGTTTCTTTCAATAGTGTCTTGTAATTTTTTGTGTACAGGTCTTTTGCCTCCTTGGTTAATATTTATTCCTGCGTATTTCACGCCTTTTGATTCAATTATAAATAGAATTATTTTAATTTCTTTCTGATTGTCATCGATGTATAAAAATGCTGCAGATTTTTAGACTGTGTATCTTTAGGCTTCATTGAATCCACTTATTCTGATTGTTTTTGGTGGAATCTTTTAGGGTTTTCTGTATATAAATTTTGTCATCAGTAATTAGTGACATTTTTTCTTTTCAATTTGTATGCCTTTTATTATTATTCTTGTGTGATTGCTCTAACTAGATCTTCTGATACTATGTTGAATAAAATAAGTGAAAGTGGACATTGTTCTATTCCTCTTCTTAGAGAAAGGCTTTTTAAGTTCTAGATCACATGGCCAGTAAGAGAGAAGGTTCTAACTCTGTAGCTGAAGTCTTTGTCTTTCTAATAGATCAAGAATAATGTGATCTGGCATTTCACAATTTTTTAATCACTGAAATGCTGTCACATTGATGGTTTTTAATTTAACATTTCAGAAGATATTTTCCCTCCTTCTTTATGGTATCTAAAAACCTGATAGAAAAATTCACCTTTGTCTTTTTAAAAAATTATACTGAGCTATATTTTAAAATGAATATTTGTTAAAATATATAGAATGTTTAGTGTGTAACTTGTACTGTAATAAGAGAGAGAATTTAAAAAGAACAAATTATCCAGAATCCTGGATCTTAGGTACTCTTGCTATTCAAACTATACTTTATTGTTCTTTGCATCAGTTTTCATAAAGGCCAAATTTACTGCAAACATTTTCTTTCAATTTTAGCCTAAAACTGATACCTAAAGTATCCATTTAAGTGTGAAAATAATTATTTCTACACTCAGACACCCTTCAATTTATGAGAATTATAAAAATTTTTCTCTTTCTGTTCTCTCAAGTATACACATGGAAATTCTTTCTCTTGAAAATGTGTTGCCCCAAATTTAACCAAAAACATTTTTTTTCTATTCTAGTTTGGGAATACGTGCTACTGCAATTCAGTTCTTCAAGCACTTTATTTTTGTCGTCCATTTCGGGAAAAAGTTCTAGCATACAAGAGTCAACCTAGGAAGAAGGAGAACCTTCTTACATGCTTAGCAGATCTCTTCCATAGCATAGCCACTCAGAAGAAAAAAGTTGGAGTAATACCTCCCAAGAAGTTCATAACAAGATTACGGAAAGAAAATGGTAAATTGTCTACTACTTACTGTATTGCTTACATAAGAGGAAGGTTAAATATTACAGTATACTACAATTCAGGAAGCATTGACTGAGCATCTTCTTTATGCCTGATAGTATGTTAATCATTGTAAAACCAAAGACGATGTTCTTGTCTTTCAGAAAATGCTACTTTAGTGGGGAGGTACTTAAACAGTAATTAATATGAGCTGTAATTCATGTTTGAAGTATGGTGTACAAAGATCAAGTTCTGTCAGGACAAGAGAACTCTTTTATGGCTTATGTGGTTTTCGTATCAAAAATGAAGTTTTTTCCCACATTATTTTTCATTTGTTATTTTTATAATACATTTATGTATAGTAACTCATTTGATCATTATAATAACCTCACGTAAAGAGTGTGTTATTTCCCCCATTTTTGCCGTTGGGGGGAAAAATGGGAAACTCAAAGACTTATAGGAGTCACACCCTAGGGAAAGGGAAGAGACAATCAAACCTTCTGACTTAGAGTAGGTAATTTTAATTCCCACCTACACTTTTAAAAACAGTGATTAAGAAAGCCTGACTTTACTTTTTTTTTCTGAAATTATTTTCCATTTAATTTTCATAGCAAACTCTTAGCTTTGGAACATATTACTTCACTTTCCTTGAGGAAACAGAGAAGTGAGGATACCACATTTCTTTTTCCCAGACAACTAAGCCCAGTGTTCTCGCTAATATAATATATGCTACCTCAGTAAAAATGAAATGGGATTTTAATAACATGTAGAGTTCTGAGTTTCATTTAATGTAAGCATTTCAAACATTATGTAAAAAAATACTGAGTGGTAGTTTTAGTTTGCTTATTTATCAGGCAGAAAGTAAGGATAGCCACAGACCTGTGATTTGAGCAGTTTTTAAGATTCGTTATTAAATACACTGAAAGGCAGTCCTTCCCTTAACTCGGTTGACATTGTTGGGTCAGATCACGTTTCGTCAAACATAATAATATGATTACAGGCTATTTTTCTTTAACACACATTAAAAAATTTGTTCTTTTCATCCACGTACAAATATAGAGCATTAATTGCATGCAAAAACACATGTTTTTTGTTTCTCCTGATGAAAGCTAAAACATGTTTACGTTCTTAGATTACAGATCTTTAAATATTTTCTGTTTATAAGAAAGCTAAATACTACACCTGAGGAGAGAAACTGTATAAAAATGAACACTGATGTAAGAAAATTAAAAACTTTAAGGAAAAAAAAAGCCAAATACAACTCTGTTACACTGTGAATTGAGTGATTCAAGTCTTCTCATTATTTTTGTCTGTATGATATGAAACTAAACATTTTGTCCTGGTAGAAAATTTGTTTATAGAGAAATTGAGCGTGCTAGCCTTTCTCAGCAATTTTATTAATGTTTTAGAAGCATTCAACACCAGAAACATAAACTTTGCATAGAATACATACTATTCCCCTTTTCATTTAATAGTTTATCTTGACCACCTTCAGTATGATGTATGTGCTTTATTTTAGATTGGGCTGCTGTAATAAAGTAACAGACTAGGTGACTTAAACAATAATCATTTAGTTCTGGAGATTGAGAATTCTGAGGTTAAGGTGCCAGCAGATTCATTGTATGATGAGGGCCTCCTTCTTGCTGTTCTCCTGCATGGTGGAAAGAGAAAGAAAAGCCAGCTTTCTTATGTCCCTTTTATAAGCCCTCAAGACCTAAATTACCCAACAAAGATGCCATCTCCAAATAGCATTACTTGGGGATTAGGGTTTCACATATGAATTTTGTATGTAGGGGGGGGTATATACAGTCCATAATATGATCTTTAAGGTGTAGTGCTTTTTAAAAATACTTAGGTTGGCTCTCATGCTAAACACAGAGCTCAAGTTACTGTGTTTCAGGTTCTGTGTGGTTAAATACCAGTGACAAAAAAAATAAATACCAGTGGCTTTGTAAGTTTATTTGTCAAGGCTGAGATATTTTTACCAATAGTTCAATGTTTTCTGAAATTTTTGTGTATTTAGGCGGGGCTATTTGATGCATAGTAGCTTTCTTAAATACTTTATCGAATGAGACTGATTCCAGAATGAATATTCCATACCAATCTTCTCATAACTTTCATTTCATTTTTCTATACTTCAATATTTAATAGAAAAGCATTTTTATTATTTGTTGGTTCTGGCATTTTAAAGTATGTTTTGAAATACATCTTTGAGTTTAGAATTTTTTTCCCAATGATTATGTAGGGCATAGAAATCAAAGATTTAATAGGTTAGTTTCTCTCCTTCAGAGACTTTGTTTCCTGGTTTATGTTAAATCTCTGGAAAATACCCATTTCAGTATTCCATTAACTTTTACTGTGGGACTGTTCTTAAACCCATTTCTTTCCATTCCATCTGAAAAAGAAGCTTCATGTTCTATATATTCTCAATAGATATTAGCTTCATATTGTTTTAACCACTCTTGTTTTGTATTACTAATCATTTTGATATCCCTTGGAGGGAACCTATTTTAATTTCTATTTAGTAATGAATTTTTGTTTTTAAAGTTTAATTTGTGTTACTTAATCATAGCATAAGAGAACTCTAGTACATTGCTCTTCTTTGCTCTTCTATAGTATGATAATACTTGCTTGCTCCATAATGTATTACCTTTGATGATGGGAAACGAGCTGTATGTTTGAGTTGATTAGTTATATATTTAGTTTCTACTGTGTGCTGTTTAGTATGCAGAAACTAGGCATAGAGATATCAAAAAGTCTCTGCCTTCTGGAGGCTGACATTCTAGTACAGAAGATAACCACACACTTAACGTAATATAATCATTGCTTTGAATAAAAATGAAACAGGGAAATGGGCTAAAGAGTCAGTTGCTAGTTTAGAGCTAGATATATAGGTAATTAATGTCTCCATGAGTGATGTTAGGTCAGAGATTTGAAGTGAAAAACAAACTGTTTGAAGATCACAGGCAAAATTGTCTCAAACAGGACAGAAATTACAGTTGCCCTGAGTGCTTGAAGGCCAACAAGAAAATGAGTGTGGCAAAAGTGTGGTAAGATCAAGAGAAAGTTAGAAAGGCAAGAAGTTAGAGCTTTGTTTTATTTTGAAAGCAATGGGAAGCTGTCATTGGAGGATTGTGAGCAGGTGGGTGGCATGTTCTGGACTGATCGGGAAAAGGTCCCTTTGGGTACTAGGCAGAGTGGCATGGAGGACATGGGTAAATTGCATGTGCAGCTTGAGTTAAAACCAGGAAACCATATAGGAGGCTAGTTTAGTAATGTAGGTAAGAAATGATGTCATTTATTGCAATTTCCTGTAAACTCTCTATTATTTTAGAGTAACAAAACACAGGCTGGTGATCTAATTATGTAACTCAATTAGAGAGCCTGGGATCATTTTTTTTTTCTTTTTTAAATAATAAATTTTATTTTTATATTCCCCATACAATTGGGATCATTTTAGATGGGCTTGAAGTTTGATCAGCTGACATCTGTGGCTCTGTGGGCCCTGACACTCACCGAATCTTAGTGGCCATAGTTCAGTTGTTGTTTGGGTCACATTTACTCTTCATATGTCATCTTAGCAGTTTCAGTCCCCAATTTTTTCATTCGTTCATTAATTCATAAATGTCAAGTACATCTGGTACGTGGCAGGCACTGTTATAAGTGCTGGGGATACAGCGCTGAATGAGATAGAAAGCACCCTTGTTCTCAAGGAACCTGTATGTTACAGCAATGTTTCAGATACTGTGGAGAGATATAAAAGTAAATATAAATACAAATTAAAAAAGACATATTTTTAAGTATTTGTCTTTTTCACCTATTAACACCTCTTAAATAGATTTGAGTGAGTGATTTTCCATATTCACTTCAGTGATTTTTCTCCAAAAGCATGAAAGATACTTTGTGTACTGAAAGTCAGTAGCTATTTCTGAATTATGAGGAAAACAACCTATTTTTAAGCAGTGATTAAGTTTTCATTTTTTTCTGCATTAATACTGCTACTGTATCAAGACTGTAGTAGCTCATACATTTATTTAATAATGAAATTGTCTCTCTCCCACTAGACTGTCAGTTCCATGATGGAGGGAACCTATTTGTTTTTGCTCACCATTGTAGTCCCAGCACATAATCCAGTTCCTGGCACATAGTAGGTGCTTAATCTAAATATTTGTTGAGTGAGTGAGTGAATGGATTTGTTTAATTTTCCAGAACAAGTTAGAAGTCCACCTTTCCCATTATGCTACTTAGCATAGACACAAGTAAAGCATAAGAAAACCAAGATTTAAAAAATCAGATGTTAAACAGCTTATGGGGCTGTCTTGAGGTCATTTAGTCAGTGTTTTCTCAGTGTTTATGCATTCCTAGTTGTTGTTTTAAAACCTGTAGTAGTTGCTTCTAGGCACTGCAGAACTCTAGCATGTTCAGTATACTGTATTGCATAGAACTTGAACTATATATTATTTTAAATATTTCAGTAAAATACAAGAGTATTTCCTTTGGTTATTTTGCATCTCATTTCTAGAGCATTCAAATCAATTTGAGGTATTTCTGCCAGTAAGAAATTGTTCTGTGTTAAATGACCATCTCAAAAAAGGTATTTCAGTTTTTTAAACAAAAACATGCACATATTTTAACTTTAAGAAAATGCATATATACTGGAATAATTTTTTTTAATGGAAAATGAGGCTACTTTAGATTGTGGCATTGAGCCATCATGGGGCTGTCCACTGTGGTGAATTGTTCGTCTCTCAACTACACCTTTGGCAGTGTTTATAAAATCTTTTGATGAGTCTTCTCCCATTGTCATTCTTTTTAGTTTTCTCCATAACTTTCCCCATTTGTTTTCATTTTTCTTAAGCCCTCTAATCAACTCTACTATAATTATTTTCCAATTCCTCTCTTGTCCCTCCTGAAGTTGGATGGTTCTAGATTTTTCACCTGGGGAGGGTGAGTGAATGAGAGATGAAACCCTTAATTTTTAAGGGGTTCTTCATGCACTTAAGGAACTTGCCTAGATACTAAAAATGTCTAGGAGTTTGGGTGGAGAGAGAAACAGTAAATCAGGTAGTGGGTCAGGGGAGCTTGACATATTTGTCACAGAAAGGAGAACTACAGTTAGTATGACTAGATCTTCAGAGATTTTTTGATTGAGGGTAAGTTTTTATATATAAGTAAAAGTAATGGTTGAAAATTAGCAGCAAGGAGTTAGAAAATGCTCCCTGAGGTTGAAGAAATAGAAAGTTGAGAACAGAAAGTGGTTCTTGGAACAGTAGGAAGAGTCAGGAAAATATGAAGGACAAGAAAGAAATAAGGTACAATAAATGAATGAGAGTAGTATAGGATAGGAATGTAGGGTTAAGGGAAGGAGTATTATTTTCAGGCTTGGGGATATTGTGCTGGGAAGGCAAGAGTAAAAGTAAATTAACTTTAGATATCTCAGCTTAGATATAGATTGCTCCTGTGGTGGAACCATCTGAGGGTTGTAAGTATTACTTGACATGGACTCAGAGAGACAGAGTGGATGGATGGCCAGGAGGTGTTCAGTTTATCTCACAGTGTCAGGGATATGGAGAATGGTGTCACAGTGCTTTGAATCTACTATCTCCCATAGCCAGAAATCAGTGGACACAGCATAGCAAATTCAAGTGCAGTGAGATGTTAAGTCCGGGCAGGTTAATGCAGTAACTCTTAGAATGCAGGGCTTTTGTTGGTCTTAAAAATAACATAAAGGAGTTTCAACAAAAACAAAGAAAATAATCCAGTCAAAAAATGGGCAGAAGAGCTAAAAAGAAACTTCTCTGAAGAAGAAATGCAAATGGCCAACAGGCATATGAAAAAATGTTCAACATCACTTGTCATCAGGGAAATGCAAATCAAAACTACAATGAGATACCATCTCACACCAGTGAGAATGGCACATATTAAAGAAACTAGCAACAACAAATGTTGGCGAGGTTGTGGAGAAAAAGGAACTCTCCTGCACTGCTGGTGGGAGTGCACACTGGTCCAGCCACTATGGAGAGCTGTGTGGAGATTTCTTGACCTCCTAAACAGAGCTTCCATATGATCCAGCAATTCCACTCCTAGGTATTTACCCAAAGGACACAGAAACAGTAATTCCAAAGGGCACCTGCATGCCTATGTTTATAGCAGCACTATTTACACTAGCTAAGCTATGGAAACAACCCAAATGCCCAAAAATAAATGACTGGATCAAGAAGATGTGGTACATATACATAATGGAATATTACTCAGCAATCAAAAAAGATAAACACATGCAGTTTGTAGCAACATGGATGGAGCTAGAAGGGATCATGCTCAGCAAAATAAGTCAGAAAGAAAAAGAAAAATACCGGGTGGTCTCACTCATAGCAGGAATTTAGAAAACCTAAATAAGAAACCAGGAAAAAGACTAATCAATACAAAGTAAAAATCAAAATCAACAAGCATCTATAAACTAGAGACACACTACCCGGGGCGGGAGGTGGGGGGCGCACAGGGAAAGGAAAGATTAGCGGCAAAATAGTGGGGGGGGGGGCAATTGTATGGGGAATATAACCAAAATGAAAATGCATACATTGTGCGAAGATTAAAAAAGATGTAAGAATTATATAAAATAAAATATTTAAATAAAAAAAAACATAAAGGAGTTTAAGACTAATAAAATCTCCCAGGACAAGCATAGTAGAGAAGTAACATATGTATGTAGTTACAATCTTATTGATTTGAGATCAGAGAGTGACATACCTGTGACATATATACAGTTAGAGATATAACCATAAAAAGAATTCAGTATTGCTTTAGCAGCTGCTCCCTAAATGGGATACTTCTTTTCATATCAAGATTGAAACCATTCTTTATTTCCTTTTAACATACCTCCCCATTGTCAATAACTCCAAAAAGCTTTACTTTTTCTGACAATTTGCAAAGATGGAGGGTATTCCATTTTACAAACTGAAGCAAGGCCCTTTGATTATCAAGGTGTTGAACTTTTTCTCATGTTTCTGCCATTGATGAATTCTGTTTCTATAAATTGTTGATTTCAAGTTCTTTGCTCCCTTTGTATTTTTTCTTTTATATAAACTGCATGCTGAAGATGTTAATTTTCAGGTTTAACTGTTTTTGAACAGTTTTTGGTGATACATTAGGACTTAATTTTATGCAGTTCTATCAGTAGCTAAAATGTGCTTTTCTTACTCCTTTTATCTGACTTCACCTAAATTTTCTTCTAAGTTTGTGTGCTTTCACTTGAAAAATGTAAACTGTAATCTTTCTGGAATTTATTAAACGTGCGTTGAGGATCTAAAAGTTTAATTTCCTAATTAGGTAGTTTTTCTGAGAATGTTTTGTTGACTAAGCCCTAGCTACATGTTTGTGGGGCTAGGTCTACACTGGCGTGGTACTTTTTATACAGCTTGGTGAGTTGAACAGCCTGATTGGAATCCTGACCCTACTGTTTCTTAATAGTGTGACTTTACCCTCTCTGATCCCATCTCCTCATTTAAAATAAGTCAATAATGGTATCACAAGGTGGTTCTGATAATCAAATGAGATACTACCTCCAAATGCCTTACTCTGCTACCTTAGGGCGAACAATGCCAAGTAGAGGGGAAAGTGCTTAGTGTTTTCTACTGTATTTACTAATATGTTTAACTTACAGTATTTCTTGAAGTTATAAAGTCTCACATTTGGACGGGACCTGGGTTAAATAGATAATTCCTAATACCATTATTTCCTAATCCTGACTGCATACAGAGTCATGTGGAGGAGATTTAAAAAGTTCCAGGTTGTAGACATTATCTCTGATTTACTAAATTAGAATTTCTAGGATATATGGCCCAGTAATGTATAATTTTAATAAACTTTCTGTGTGGGCCTTATGTATTTCACTTGGCATTGGCAAAAGGTTGCCCAACATCTGCTTTAAAACATGTCGTATTAAAAAAATAAAATAAAATAAAACATGTCATATTGTTGGTTTGAAAGATCAGGAACATTTGACTCCTATTAAAAACTGCCCTTCAGCAAAAACCAGAGGGGGAAAAGAACTTAAAATGCACGTTATTCTGCGTCGTTCCAGGGCTGCACCTTAGCATATAGAATAATAGAATGTTTTGTTGGCCATGTGTTTGTTGAAATTTCTAAGGAATTTTAGGAGACACTAGATATGGGCAGATCTCATAAGATCATGTGGCCCTTTGATCTGGGAGACCTGGGGGAGTTTTCCAGAGTGCCAGTAGTGTAAAAACTTGTCATAATGTTGATAAGATTTTACTTGACTTTTTTTAAAACCATTCTCAAGAAAACTGGATTTTCTCATTACATAACTGAAAGAAAGGAAAGCAGAAGCCTGTGAGAACCTAGATGGTCTCATTAGAGATGTCAATTTCTAATGTATTTATGAATTATAACAAAAATGACTATATATGCAAAAATCTTGTTAAATTGTAATGTTTGTGGGGTAATAGGTCAGATCATCTAATAAAAAAAGGCTCATTTCTTACCTTTCCATTATGTAAATGTATGAGGATAGGCTTTGCCCTTTTCTCATGAATCAGAATTGATTTTATTTTAAAAAAATGATTCTCATTCATCTCAACTTTATTTTCCCCAAATTCAATCATAATTTTTATGTGTGAAAGATAGCCACCTATGAAAACTATTAACAATATAATAATATTGCTAACAATAACAAACATTTAAACTTAGTACTGTAGCATAGATATTCTTTTTAAGTTTATTTTTTTAATGGTGTTATTATTTCTGGAATAATTCTCTAATATATTTTTATTTTTAGAACTTTTTGACAACTACATGCAACAAGATGCCCATGAATTCTTAAATTATCTACTAAATACAATTGCTGATATTTTACAAGAAGAGAGAAAACAGGAAAAACAAAACGGCCGTTTACCTAATGGTAATATTGACAGTGAAAATAATAACAGCACACCAGACCCAACATGGGTTCATGAGATTTTTCAGGGAACATTGACTAATGAAACCAGATGTCTTACTTGTGAAACTGTAAGTATATATACAATTTTTCATAGAAAAAAATGTGAATATATTAAAAGTTTGTGGAGAACTAGTAAAGGAGGTGAACTTGAAAGTTGTAATGCATAGGTATAATAAAGATCTTAAGTTAAAAGTTGTCAGTTGAAAGGTAACCATCTACATGGTTTCATAATGCTGCTTATTAACAATGTATACTGACTGAGAAAGAACTTACTGCAGATTGGTTTTGTTTCAATATAAGAGACTATCATGTTCTAAAATTATATTTCTTAGTTAAAATAATTAATAGTGAATATTAATGCACCTATAGGTCGGAGAGGTATATTAAATTTTTCATTCTATTTTCCTTCGATTATTTTTATTTTTCATGATTCATTTAAAAACATACTGTATATACTCAAGGAGAGGAAAATATTCACCTGTGTGTACTTTGTAAAGATGAACAGTAGGGGAGAAGCTTAAAATTGATTGCACATAGGATCAGATACTGTTATAGTCTTACCTTGTTACCTGATTGCTCACACATGAAATGAAAGCTCAAACTCTTAAACATCCATTATCCAATTTCACAAATAATACCTGTTAGGGACTTTTCTCGCCTTCAATACAGAATCCACGTTAGATGTTGGACTTGGCATGTGGTCATGTTTACTTTCCCCTCCTTTATAAACTAGAGCATTTTCAGAGTTTTCTATCTTTTATGATGTTTACATTTTTGAAGAACATGTCCCTTCCTAATTTTTTTATTTTTAAATCCAACATTCCTTATATCGAGTTTGTCTGATGTTCTTCCAGTTAGATTTAGGTTACATATTCTTGGCTGGAACAGTTCATTGTTAATGGATCGATCTCAGGATATGGCATATAGTCACACAGCATCCATCTGCCCCTCATTGGTGAAATTAATTTTTTCTTCCATTCAAGATGTTCCATTTCACAGTATTATGATGATTTGGTTTTTATGCTCTTGTGATTAGTAGGCAGTATGTGGGGGGCACATAAAAATTTCCCCCAAGATTAAACATCCTTTGATGATTTTTGCCTTATCAGTCTTTATTTACATGGTTCTAGTAATTTTTAATAGCATAGGAAAGTAGCGTCATTCTTATTAGCAAGAGAGTCCACAAGCAAGAAAAGAGAAGCATTTTATGTTTGTTAGTTGGAATAATGTAGTCAACTTGGATGATTAAATCTGATAAACTTAACACTGGCAGAGCCTAATAGTTAATTATTATTTTTTTATTAATTGACCTTAGAAAAATGGAGTAGGAAGTATAGTGAATTCCCAAATACTTCTTCCTGACTGCATTCCGCTATAATTAACATCTTCCTGTAGTGAAGTATATTTGTTGTGATTGATGGGCTGATATTGATACATTATTTATTATAAACCAAAACCTATGATTGACATTAGGGTTCACTCTTAGTGTTGTCTGTTCTTTCTCTGGCTCTGTTTTGACAACTGTATATGCCATTTCAATATAATGCAGAGTAGTTTCACTGTCCTGAAGATCCTGTGATCCAGGTTTTCATCCTTCTTCCTCAGCACTCTGGGAACCAATGATCTTTTCACTGTCTCCATAGTTTTGCCTTTTCCAGAATGTTGTATAGTTGTAATCAGATATGTATGTAGCCTTTCAGATTGCCTTCTTTCACTTAGTAATATATAATGTTAGTAATGTTTCTCCAGGTCTTTTCAAAGCATGATAGCTCATTTTTTTTTTTTTAACTTTCTTGTGAATTGTTTTTTTTTTTTTTAATTTAATTTAATTTTTTAAAAGATTTATTTATTTATTTATACAAGCACTGGGAACAGTCAGAAGCACGGGAGGGAGAGAGAATTCACCAGAGCCAGAGTGGGGAACAGAACAGGGAGACCAACGAAATACACTGCTGAGGGGAGCAGCGGGCGTGGCAGGAGAGGTCTGGGCGCCATGTGGGACCCTCGCCTGCAGCTGGGGATCGAACAGGTGCTGCAGAGGCTGCGGGGCAGCTTCACAGCCCAGCGCTCAACCGCTACGCCACCAGGGGAGGCCCTCATTTCTTTTTTTAATCACTGGATTATATTCCACTGGATGGATTTATCACAGTTTACCCATTCATTTGTTGAATGACATCAATGTTACATCTAAGTTTTGATAATTATGAATAAAGGTTCTATAAGGACCCCTGTATAGGTTTCTGTGTGGACTAATTTTTTGACTCCTTTGATTAATACTGAGGAGTGCAGTTGCTGGATCATGTGATATTAATATGTTTAATTTTGTAAGAAACTGTCAAATTGTCTTTCAAAATTGTCTTACCATTTTGAATTCCCACAAGCAATGAGTGAAAGTTTCTGTTGCTCCACATCTACATTCTGCATATGGTGCTCAGTGTTTTGTTGGTGGTTAGCTAGTCCAGTGTGTGTGAAGTAGATCTTTTTTTTAATTTGAAATTCCTTAGTGACATATGATGTTGAGTATCTTTTTATATGCTTATTTGCTGTCCGTATACCTTCTTTGGTGAGGTGTCTGTTCATATCTTTTGTCCATTTTTAAAGTCATTTTTGGGTCTAATTTTAAGAGTTCTTTGAATATTTTAGATGTCCTCTATCAGATACAAAAGTCTGTCTCAATTTTTTTTTTTTTTTGGCGTGAATATCCCGTTTTTCGAGCACCATTTGTCAAATCAAGACTATCCTTTCTTTGAATTGCCTTTTTTTTTTTGGTCAAAAATAAATGAACTGTATTTGTTGGGTGTATCTCTGGGCTCTGTGTTCTGTTCCATTGACCTAGTTGTATATTTTTTCCCCAATACTATACTGTTCTGATATCTGATGCTTATTATGGTAAGTCTTGACATTAAATAGTGTCAGTCTCTTTTTGTTTTTTAATGCTGTGTTGGTTATTCTGGTCTTTTGCCTTCCTATGTAAAATTTAAAATCATAAGAACTTTAGAAGCTGATTACTATCCATAAAATAAAGTGCTGTGAACTTGAATGGTATAATGTTAAATCTATAGATCCTAGTTGGGAAGAACTGACAGCTGACAGTATTCCATGTAGTACGTGGACTATACATTTATTTATATCTTCTTGATTTCTTTCACTCGAGTTTTGTAGTTTTCCTTAAATCAATCTTTTACATACATAGTCTGTTGGATTTATACCTAAGTCTGTCTTTAGGGTGGGAAGTGCTAATTTAAATAGTACTGTGTTTCTCTCGCTCTTTTTTTTTTTTAAGCAAGTGGTGATCCTTTGGATTCAACCATTAATAAAAAAATAAATGTACAGATAACCCATACCATTGAGACTATTGATTATACCTTGATCTTTTTAATGTTAACCAAGCATTTGCAGAGCTATCATTGTCAATAGTGTAATTTTAATTAATGAACACAATATTAAAATTCCCTTTTCTAAAGAAATTTTTATTGATGAGCCTCTCTTAGATCCAGTGAAAGTGGTATCATTGAATGCTTGAATACATTAAACAATAGCCTGTGAAGAAGTTTCTGAATTATTGGTGTGTGCTTTGTTCCTTGCTGCAGTTGTCAGTTAATTGCAGTAATGGTCGAGTTTGTAATATTTGATGTTGGGAATTAGACTCAGTACTTATCTCAATTCAATCTAATCAACTCCAGTTATTTTAGGATGAGTATTTTGGATATGATTTATTTAAAATTTTTTTAAAAATCATAACTGAATCTCAAGCTTTCAGAGACATTGCCCAATTATTAGAATAATTCTAGTTACTGTTCTACTGGAATAGTAAATGTAATCAGGATTTGGCAGTTGCTTGATGTTTGGTATAATGGAATTAGGTCTCTATTAGGAGATACACGTATAACTTGGCCTTCAGTGAAACAGAAAATAGTTGAATTTCCTTAGCATGTTGAGAAATACGTGATAGGTGCAATGGGGAAGGTGATTTGAGGCCCTATCTAGAGTTCTTTGGGATTTTGTGTTAATACCTTTTGAAGTTTATTTTGCAGATGGGAATGATAGGGAACAAAGATTAAACCTTTCTGAAGTACACAGTGATATTAGCTATCTTTGTTAGCACTCAAACATTTATTTCTTTTGTAATGGATGGATAATGAGCCTTTTTTTTTTTTTCCCAGTCATTTGGTCATTAGGTCTTCATGTGACCTGCAATATATATTTGCAGATAGTATCACAAGAATTAAGAGGGTGAATTGAGAATATTTCTTTAAGATCTAAGCCATCATTTTGCTTATTCAGAAAATGACCATTAGTGCTACACCCTTGTGAAACTAAGCTAAAGGAACAAAATTCACAATTTCTCAAGAGTAACTTTGTATTGTGTTTTCACTTACTTTTACAAAAATATTTATGTACCAGTTGTGCCAGATAGAAGAAGATGGGTAAAGGTTAGAAAAAGATGAGTAAGACATAGTTTCTGATCACAAAATGCTTGTAAAGTGGTGAAGACTGAAAAGCAAATTGTCAGGCAATTCTAAAACTAGTAAAATGTGTTATGCTGTGGGTACACTTAAGGTGCCGTGGGAACCAGAAAATAGTAGACCTAATCCAGATGGGAGCAGGAAGGGTTGTAAAAGCTTGAGGATGAGACAGTGCTTGTATAGCAGATTTTAGTAATATAGTTGTTAATATAATAATTGGTAGGAAACTGATTAATAAGACTCTCTTCTGGTGTTCTGTTATGTTATATGAGTTTTCCTTCTTTGCCTCATTTCTTGGCTTTTCTTCTTCCATTTATTCTTGAAATTTGGATGTGTTCCAGGTTTTCATTCCTTCCCTGCATTGGGAGGATCTTGTTCCATTTTATTATCACCTATGCTGATGACTCAGTAGTGCAGATCTCTAGCCTATACTTTTTTCACTGAGTTTTACACCTGTACCACCTAGATACTGGATGTGACCTGACATTAGGACTTGGCAGTCCAGCAACGACGTATTGCCCCACTTAGTGATCACCTCATACCAATACAATTGTAAACACAAACATAGTAACTCAGGCACATCCAGATAATCCAGAATATCTTTAGGTTAAATTTTTTTTGTTATAAAAATGAAAATTAAAAATGAAGACCCCTGAGAGAAGTGTATTAGAATCACTAATCATAGGTTGAGAAACATCAGACTTACTAATCTTTTTTTTCCCTCTAGTCTACATATGAAGAAAGCCCTAGCTAATTCAGGCTTTAGCTTACTTCTACTATACTATCTGTTGTCACCTTACCCACTTTTCTAGAAAACTAGGCTGGTTGTTTTCTTTAAGCACATTAGGATTTTTTTCCTCCTCTCTGAGTTGTCTTTTTTCATTGACTCTTGAGATCCAGATGAGTTATCTTTTAGTGTAACTATACCTTGTATACCCAGTACTATTTACTCATATTTGTTTCATTATATAATATATATTCTGTGTGTATGTCTAGCTGTCTAACCACATAATTTTTCACAACTTAATGATGCTGAGCTTATAACATGGATGCAATATTGAAACAGGAAAGTACTACTCTCCTGGGTATTTAGTCTCCCCTGGTTGAGAGGCATAGGGGAATAGAGTAACCTAACCTAATTATTATTATTTTTTTTGTTAAGGTGGTTTACCCTGAGTCACACAGAACTTTCTGTTGTATGTTTTTTTGAGAATTGAAAGTAGACATAAATGATGATTATAATTTTTCATTTTGGATCAAATTATTTTCTTAAATGCTAGAACAAGATCGATAGCTTGACCTTTGCAAGCATTCTTATTCAGTATTTGCCTTTTTTTTTAAAAAAAAGAATTAGTATATATGGTATAGATTTTACAGTAACACCAGATTTGGAGAAGTAATGGAATTTCACATCATACTAGGTGTTACCAGTTAAGAGTCAGTGATAGTCATAACATTGATGTTATGCCTGTCCATCTGAGTTATTTATTCAGTATTCTTTTGAACAATCCAAATAAGGTAGTTTTCTTTTGAACTTTAAGAAAAAGAATTATGCATATAATTATTACTAATAAATACAGTGGATTTTGGAACAGCGGTTTGTTGATATTTGAAGATATCATAGATATCTCCCTATTTTTACAGATAAGCAGCAAAGATGAAGATTTTTTAGATCTTTCTGTTGATGTGGAACAAAACACATCAATTACTCACTGTTTAAGGTAAGTGTAGAGTTGCTTATTTTGAAGTTTAATGAATATCTTCGGTGTAGAATCTTTTTAAATGACTGTGATTTTTCTGGTATAGACAAAATAAATTTATTTTGAATTTTATACAGGGGTTTTAGCAACACAGAAACTCTATGCAGTGAATATAAATATTACTGTGAAGAATGTCGCAGCAAACAGGAAGCACACAAACGGTAATTTAGTGTCTTTTGAATATTTTAGTGATTCTTTGGCAATAGATGTTGTAGATGGGCTTTTGGATCTGAAAGTGATCTATGCAAATTGACATCAAGTAAAGATTCTTCATTTTATTAACACTCGTACTAAGTAATTACCAGATAAACTATATTCAACTCTGTACCATCAGGTGATTTTTTTGCATTTTGTTATCGTTTAATAATCATAGACTAGCACGGTTAATGCTACAAATATTGGTTTTGAAGCTTACCTGATTTATGTAAACTTTTGTCTTGGTGAGGGAAAAAGGACCGTAGCCCTCACTTAATGCTGTCTGGATAGTTACTTGCAAATTGCGACTTTAGGCAGAACAACATAAAATTTGAGCAGGTCCCACTGAATTGTTCAGCTTCAGACAGAATCTTATTCTTATCAACATTATAATGAAATAATATTCAAGGACTTTCCTTATCCCCACCATAGTTTCTGCTCTTCCTACATAGGATTCTGTGCCTTCTCTTAGTGTACTAAAGACTGGATTTTGTTATTAAGAAGTGGAATCAGGGCCTCCCCGGTGGCGCAGTGGGTTGAGAGCCGCACCGTGGAGCTGTCCGCAGCCTCTGCAGCATGGTTCAATTCCCGGCCGGCCAGGGAGAGACCCACATGGTGTGGCAGACCTCTCCTTTCTTGCCTGCTGCTCCCCTCAGCAGTGTATTTTGGTTCTTCTGCCTATTCTGTTCCCCACTCTGTCTCTGGTGAATTCTCTCACCCTCCCGCGCCTCTGACTATACCCCAGTTCTTGTTTTAAAGATAAGTAAATCTTTAAAAAAAAAAGAAGTGGAATCATCATTTTTACAATTTTTTTTTTTTTATTTTGAAACAGTCTCAAACTCAGGGAAAAGTTGTATGAACAATTCTTAGAATGCTTTTATTACCCTAAGTGATTTAAAAATAAGGCCCTGAGCCTCCCCGGTGGCGCAGCGGTTGAGCGCTGGGTTGCGAAGCTGCCCGCAGCCTCTGCAGCGCTGGTTCAATCCCCGGCTGCTCCCCGGCCACCGGAGGCGGGTCCCGCATGGCGCGCAGAATCTCCTGCCGCCCGCTGCTCCCCTCAGCAGTGTACTTCGGTCCTTCTGCCTGCTCTGCTCCCCGCTCTGGCTCTGGTGAATTCTCTCACCCTCCCGCGCTTCTGACTGTACCCAGTGCATGTATAAACAAAACAAACAAACAAATAAATAAAAAAAAAAAAAAAACACATGCCTCTATAAAAAAAAAAAAAATTAAAAAAAAAAAATAAGGCCCTGATATGTAATTATTATCTATCAACAAAGAGGTTTTCCTGTGTATCTTATCCATCCAAATCAGGAAGGTAACACTGATATATTTACTGTTACTGTTGACCTTATTTTTGAATCCAGATGTTCAGTAATGGTTCCTTATGGAGAAAAGGATTCCATTCAGATTCACATATTACATTTAATATACATGTCTTTTTTAATTATTTTAAATTTGAATAATTCCTTATGCTTTTCTTGACTTACATAATCTTGATCCTTTTGAAAATTGTAGCTGTTATTTTTGTTGAAAGTCTCTCTTTTGATTTGTCTCATGTTTTCTCATAATTAGGTTCAGGTTATATATATATATATATATATATATATATATATATATATATATATATATAGGGCAGGACTCTCATAGAGATGTGCAGAAAGTTAGCATGGTTGCTATTGCAGAAAGAAATTTCTGCGAATTTATTCACCTACCAAAGTCCTTGACCCATAACGAACAGGTGGTGAAGAGTATGAAAGCCCAGCTTCTGGGCTGTGGTCAAGAGAAGTCTGCAGTGATGTAGTCCTGATGTCTCTGTGTAATATTATCATGTTCCCGTATGTTTTTTGCTTTTTATTTTTTTAACTTAATTTCAAATGAATATTGAGTCAAAGGAAGTTGTAAAATTAGAACAGAAATGGTAAGAAGAGGTCTCTTGTACCACCTTCACTCAGAATTCCCCCAAGATCAAAGTCAGGAAAACAGCTTTGGTACAATCTATACCTTTGTTCAGATTTACACATTTGTGTGTGTTTAAGGGTATATTTCCATGTAATTGTACATAGATTCGTGTAACCACCACAGCAGTAAATATACAGAGTTGTCCCACTTCCCTATGCTTTATTTCCCTTGTGGTACTCCTTAATGTATAGTCACACAGAAAACCCATACCCATCTCTGTTGATGCTATTCCTAACTCCTGCAGCCACCAGTCTTTCCTCCATCTCTATAATTTTGTCATTTTGAGAATATTATGTAAATGAGATCATGCAATATGTGACCTTTTGAGATCAACTTTCTTCACTCAGCATAATTCTAAGATCTATCTAAATGAGTATCCATTTTAAGTCCTTTTTCTTTTCTAAATGAAGTGTTTAAAGCTATACATTTACCTTTAAATAGTTAATGGCTGTGTTTGCACAAATTTTGACATGAATTTTCATTAACATCCATTTCAAAATATTTTCTAATTTCCCTTATGACTTTCCTTAATTCCATAATTATTTAGAATATGTTGCATAGTTTCCATTCTTCAGGGGTTTTCAAGGTATTTGTTTGCTCTTTTTTTGTCAGATAAAATATTCTGTGATTCCAGTCTTTTGGAATTTATTGAGACTTTTTTCATTCATTGTTCAATACATTTGTGAATGTCTCAGTTGTACTTGAAAAAAACTGTTTGCTATTTGAGATGGAGCATTCCATAAATAAGTATCAGTTAGATCCATAATTTGTTCATATCTTCCCTATAACTTTTTATTAATCAGAGAAATCTGTTATGACTGTTTATGCATTGTCTGTTTATTCCTTAATTTATTAAATTTGAAGCTTTGATATATGTACTTTAAAGATTATCGTGTCTTGATTAATAGCCCCTCTTTATTATGGGATGTTATTCTTTATCTGCAGTAACATTCCTCGCTTTGAAGTCTGCTTTATTTACTACTATCAGCCAAAGCCAACTGAATTTACTAGTGTTTACATGCTTATCTTTTTCCATCTTTCTATTCTTTTTTTGATAGTTTAGAATTATAAATATTAAAGATGTATACCCCTTAAAGATGATTACCTCTTAAGTTAGTGTGCAAGATGTACACCTCTTGTTTTTAAGATGTAAACACAAGAAAATTTATAATCACCCAAGTTTTAATAGTTGTTTGTGTAGTGAATAAATTTCATAAAAGAATTCAAACAGAAAATATGTCACTTTTTAGATGATAAAATCAATGTTTAATTAAAACTTTATAACTAAAAAGGAAAAAATTCTCTATTCTAGTTTTTCTCCAACTTTTTTTTTTTTAAGAAAACATGGCTGAGGGCCTTCCCTAGTGGCGCAGTGGTTGAGCCTCTGCAGCACCGGTTTGTTCCCCGGCCGCTGGCGAGGTTCCCACAAAAAGAAAGAAGAAAGAAAGAAAGAAAACATGGCTGAGACAATTTTCTTGTTTGATTTTAAATGATGATGAGATTGAGATCTCCCTAATTAAACCTTTCTCCACTCAAGTTTTGAATGAAAGGAAAACCAGAATCCTACAAATTCTTTGGGGTATTGGTGGAATTGATGTTTTGAGCAGAAAATCAACTTTGTTTTCTTAGTTCTGCTGCAAAATTTACATAATGTATTTTACACATGTTACATGTATGCCCAAGCAATTTTCTTTCTTCTTTTTTTTTTTAAAGATTTATTTATTTATGATACAAGAGCTGGGGTGTAGGCCAGAGGTGTGGAGGGTGAGAGGATTCACCAGAGACAGAATGGGGAGCAGAACAGGTGGATCAACTGAAGTACACTGCTGCAGGGAGCAGCGGGTGTAAGACAGGAGAGGTCTGCTGCACCATGTGGGTTGCTCCCTAGCTGGCAGGTGGAATGAACTCATGCTATAGTGGTGGGGATATCTTGATAGAGCTATCTGTCAAGGCCACCAGGGAGGCCTTCTTTTTTTCTTCTTGAGCCACTTTAAAATGAGGACTATTTTGCAAGCTGGACTCATCATCTAAAATACAGCTTTGCAGATATTTATGTTTGACTTGATCATGTTTATCCCCATGAGCTTTTGGTTTCTTTGTGAAAGCTGACAGTGTCTCCTCTGGGAGGAGATTGTCATGATTCACATTCTTCATGTTATGTCTGATTGAACATATTTTATTAGCTTTAGTATTTAGATTTTTTGGTCTTTTCTCCATTGGGACTTTTTTTTTTTTAACCCTCTGTTCTTGCGTAATTTCCTAAAGCACAGTTTTCCCAAGTATCAGCCCAAGTCTTGTCTTTTCTTCCTAATTTTGACTGACTGCCATCTATTATATTAATATTCATTTAATACTGAGAAAATTCTTCTGGATCTATATACTCCACTGAAATTTTCAGAGTACTTTATTGTTTCGAAAAAAGTTTGTTTTAGCAACTTTACATGGATTTAATCAAATATCTGATGTTTAATAGTTGTTTATTATGTGTTAACTTTATATCTTGACTTTCTCAATTTTACAGTATTTTCCCGTGCCTTTTAGAAATTTCTATCAGCATTGTCTGAGGTTATCTAATCTGTTTTTATTGTAATTTATTTGAACATTTCCTATTGTTGAATAGTTAGGATTGTCCCTATTTTTCATGACATATAAGGTAACTTGAGAACTGAATTTTTCTCTTATGTCATATATTTGACATGATATATTTCATTAGAAATGGTATTATGGAGGGAGAGACCAAAAAGGCTCTTAATTCATAATGCTAGATTGCTTTCCAGGAATGATTAAGTATTTATTTACATTTATTTTCACTAATGGTTTTCAAAGGATTAGATTAGTTAAAAGTAAGCATTTCTGGAATCATAAGCTGCCCACCACATTTGAAATTGCTAGAATACAGATTTACTATAATGCTATACTACAGTTTTATTTTTTACTTCAATGCAATACTTAATAAAAATTCATTTTTTAATTATAAAATATTTTTGCTTCACTGAGAATTCAGTTTTGCAGTGTTTGTCAAGTGTCTAGAGAAATAAAATGAAAGAAATGGTTTCTACTTGCCGAGTTTACACCCTAGAAGAGAAAGACCATGGTCATCTAAATATTTTCTGCTGTATAAACTGTAAATATATCAAGTGAATCTGTAAAGTGCCATGGAGGATTGAAGCAAACCGTTTATGTACCAGTGGGTATAAAATTTGAGCCAAGCCCTTCAAAGAATAGACTGTTGTTAGGTGAATTAGAGTGCAAAGAAATCGCAGGGAGAAATAGCATTTAAAGGCATAATGTAGATTATTTAAATTTGAAGACTAGCTGGTGTTTCACAATTGAAAACTTAACTCCCAAATTTTCACATTATTTTGTTCCCTTTCTAGTATACATGTAAGTTGTTATTCTTAACATGGTGTTATCATCTCGGCTTTTAGTAGATTGGTCTTAAAGCCTTTCTCACTACCTTTTATTCTCAATCTGTTATTTTATATAAATATATATTTATTTATAGAGCAAATGGATTTCAGTCTCCAGCCATCCAAAAGAATTAGCTTTCAGGAAATGACTTTTTCTCCTCCAATTACAGGCATCATGTTATAGGTCCCTTTTTCACAGGGAGCTGTACTTCAGAAATATAGATATCTTAACAAAGGTCCGATGTCATTCTATCTGTTTTGGAACTGTGTTGAGTTAAGTTATGTGGTTTGGTGATGGTGGATGGAGTGGGGCAATCTTGACATATCAGATGGTTGCTTTGCCAATGTAAAAATAATTTTTAGAAATATGCAAAAGTGGGCAGTGCTGAACTCTGAAAGCTCACCATTGTTTCTTAGTAGAATCAAAGCTTGATCGTTCTTTTAAGGATATGATGAATGTCTTTGATAGAATTTGTTTTCATTTTTGTTTTTATTAGGATGAAAGTTAAAAAACTGCCCATGATTCTAGCTCTACATCTGAAGAGATTTAAATATATGGATCAACTTCATCGATATACAAAACTTTCTTACCGAGTAGTTTTTCCTTTAGAACTTCGTTTATTTAACACTTCAGGCGATGCAACCAATCCTGACCGAATGTACGACCTTGTTGCCGTAGTGGTTCACTGTGGAAGGTAATTGCATCTGTGGGACATGGAAGTGAGTCCGTCACTGGATCATTCAGCATGTTCATGAGTGATGTGAATATAGAGCTTGTAGAGGTTCTTCACCCCTCATGACTAAGTATCAAGATAAGTTAATTCAAAATGAATTTTCCAGGTGTAATACATTTTATTATTTCCTCCTTTACACTGCATATATTAAAACCTTGTATCATTATCTGGATTTTACTTTACTATTAATCTAAGAGCACTTTAAGGCTTTTTTTTTTTTTTATTGTTGGTAAAAAATCTTCAAAGATCATTTTTCTGATTTTACCAATCATTGTGTTTGTTTCCAGTTAGCCATTTTAGTGTGATATTTTACTCTTAAGTTATAAAATAGTTCCAAAAATTCTCAAGCTACAAGAGCATCACATAATCAAAATGTGTATTTTGAACACTTAGAATTTCCTGTTACAGTTCTAAAACAGGGCACTCGTCCCCCCCCCCCCTTAAAACTTGAACAGCGTGTTTTGTCCAACTAAAACAGTTCCAGCTTTCTGCTCAGATATGTAATGACATTTGGGAGGGGGTGAGTCTTCTATAAAACAGTCTTCAACCTCCACTGCCCATGTCTGCCTGGCTCCTGCATTTTATTGTCAAAAATAATCCTCCTCTGCCATTTTTGGTGCATTCTCTTTCCAATGTTAAGTGGATGAGATCTGGAAGGAGGAAAATGATTGCAGAGAACCTTGGGGTGGTGATTCAGAGAAGTTTTACAGTCAGAGAAACTGAGATTTTAGTTCTATTTCTGCCTTTTATGGCCAGTGTGATTTCATAATAAGCTCCCTGATTATTAGTTTTCTTTTCAATCAAATGTGAATAATATGAACTACTTCTATATTGTTTAAAAGGGATTAAAAAGGAAATATAAATCACTTAGCTACTGCTACTATAATACCCTAATTCTGCTTCAAATTCAGTTGAGAATTGTCCTCTACTTAAGTTGTACTAGATCTTTTGGAATTGCTCTAATCACCACATATTGAACTCCGAGATTTCTAATCATAACCCGGATCACTTCCCCACTCATTCTGTTTCTAAAATACAGCTGCCCTCCCCGCTTACAGCCTCTAGTCCCTGACTTTTTTTTAAACCCTGGGTCTCACTGTTTCTGCCAACTTTATCACTACAATCAGTTATTTAAAGTATGTTCTCACTCACATGCACTGTTTCTTCAATCCCAGCTGTCAGAATGTTGCACAAAATTGCCTGGAGATGTGTATTGACTTTCCTCCCCTCTCAGGATATCTGACTGCAGTGGAAACTCCTTCTTCTTCTTCTTTTTTTTTTTTTTTTAAATTTTTTACATCATTGTTCATTTTTAAACAATATTTGCTTCCCCCACCCCCTCAGGTGTAGTCCCCATAGAGTTTCCTTCACCAATGCACCCGTGTACCATCACCTCAAGTCCCCTGTGCGCCTCCCTCCCTCCCTCCCTCCCTTTGATCCCTCTCTCTACTCCTCGCTTGCAGTATGTCTCTGACTTATAATTGTCTGTTTTTGCTTTGTTGTGGGAAACTCATTCTTGCTTGAATTCTTCATAGCAGTTCTTCCAAATTCCCCCACCTGTTTGTTATTCTTCCTCTTCTCATACCTTGTCGCCTTTTTCCTGTCCCCTCCTGTGCCTTTTAAACCATGCTGGAAGTCTTCCCTGGTGTTCTTCTAGCCACTTGCAGTCTCCTTCCATGCCCCTGTATTCATATTTCTAGATGCACGTTGTATAACTTACTGCTTTGTGTTACTTATCAGTTTGTTTCCCTAACAAGAATGTGTGCTTCTTAAAACAGGAAGTAATTTGTCTATCGACAAAAGACTAATCATATTTTAAAGTTTTAGTTCTTTTAAAATTTATTAGATTTATTTTTACATAGGTTCAAATGAGAATATAGAGGATTTGATTACATTTGCCTGTGACCTTTGGCTGTTAAGGAATCTCGTGTTCAGTATTTCTGTGCCAATTCAACTTATTCTCTATCCTCAATGCTGGTGTAGAGATTTCCAATAAATGTTTATTAAGTTATTCAGTATTATCCTTGAAGCCCATCTCAGACCCCATCTCTGCTACACAACCAGTCTTTCTTGATTATTCAGCCCTTTTCCTCCGACCATTCACTGGTTGAGGAATTCTGTATTTTATACCTTTGTGGCCCCACTTTTATATCCTATTAATATATTCTTTTTGAAGCAGTTACACTACTGTACTGGTGGTGCCTTCCGGGTAGTTAGTTCTTGGAGCCTTTCTAGTCCCCACAGCAGTCAGCACTGGTTATTTGTGTACCTTAGGCATGTATGCATAGTGAATGGAGCATATTTTATGTTTACAATACTAGTCCATAATAAACAACTTCCCTAAATACAGGTTTACTAGCCACAGCCCTTCACCTTATTTTTAGTTTCTGGGATTGTCTACCACTCTTCAAACTAGCTTTACAGAAGCAAAAGCTGCCACACCTTTTCAGTCTCATATCTGCTAGTCTTCAGCCCACCTATCTCCTTCCTTTCCAGGCTCTGTTTCTGAACCTTTCTTGTGATTTTTTTCCCCTTATTTTCACTTCCTTAAAAATTTGTGGAAAATTATTTCAAATTCTAATGTAAATTACAGAATTACAATTTAATAAAAAATTGGATGTAAGCTTATGTAATGAATCATATTTAAACTGAAAGGAGTTAAAATCTTTGCCATGTCCTTTATAAAGCCAAGAAATTCTTTCAAAAGAACTAGTCCCTCCTTCATTTTTACACATACTTAGATTTCTGTATTCTAGATTTGTTTTAAATGAGATTAAGAGATAATTAAAATAATTATAATAATGCTAAAAATTAGATACTTAAAGATAGCACTCCTTATAGTACTAACCATTGGCCAAATGGCATTTGTGTTTAAAGAAGTTAATGAAGTTCAAGCTTGATTTCAGAACTACAGATTTGATGTCTTTGCCTTTTCAATGAACACATAGTCTAATCCTCAAGAGCAAACTGTTGCTAAAGAGTAAAACTTAGAAATAATCCTACATGCTTTGCCACAGTTTAGTTGAGTATGTTCTGACTGTGACCTCTTCTCTCTCTTTCCCTAAGAAAACGCGAGGAAGATTTATTTAAATCTTCCAAAGAAGCAAATTTGAGAATTATTTCCAAAAAATAATTTAAAAATCATTACAAAGATAATAAAGAATTTGAATAGCCTACCTTTATATAAGTAGAATACTGGCTGTCTTTCAAGGTAGAATATTATTTGATATTAAAATTGAATGCTAATTAGATTAATGTTGCTCAACATCTTGGGGAAAGGATAGGTAGAGTATTTTGATCCAATTCATTCTTTATAGAACATAAACTTTAAGGCATAGAGGAGTAATATTAATGAACATTGTCTAAGATTAACTTTTCTTTCTTTTTGTTTTAGTGGTCCCAATCGAGGACATTATATTGCAATAGTTAAGAGTCATGACTTTTGGTTGTTGTTTGATGATGACATTGTAGAAGTAAGTAGTTTGTTAACTTCTTGTTTTCTTCAATATTGTCTGTGTAATTTACTTTTCACTTTATTCTCTTAGTATATCATTCATATATGAGGGTGATATTAGCCAAATGTCTAGTCTTTGAATTATAATTTGATTCCTACTTCTTAGTCCCTAAAATGCCAGTCCCAATGTTTGAATGATCAGCTAACCCTTATAACACTTAGAAAAAAAACAAGGCAAAGCTTTCAAAAAGAGAGCTCGTTGAAAAAGTACCTTGCCTTCTTTAAAAAAAAAAAAAATGAACTATAAGATAAAGTATACACTATCTTAACCAGCAAGTAACTTAATGACTTTTGACATGTGCGTCTCTGAGTGCACACGCAACTACCATCCAGATCAAAATAGTACATTTTTAGCACCCCCACAAGTGTCTTTATTTCCTTGGTCAGTACCCATAGCTTTCCTTCATTCTACCCACCATCCCCTCAGACTTGCTATTTTGACTTTTATCACAATAATTAGTTTTATGTTTGAATTCAGAGGAACTTATCAAATAGGACTTCTTTTTCTGGATTTTTTTTCAGTCTTTGTATCTGTGAGATTTATTCTTGTCTCCAACAGTCGTTGTTATTGTCATAGTTGTGGTTCTTTTTTTTATTGCTGTGTAATTTTCCATTGTGTGAATATACCAAATTAGAAACTTGGCTTTTTGTCCATTACTGACTTATGACTAAAACTGCCTTCATTATCCTTGTTCCAGTCTTGCTGGGCACATGCTCTTGTTGTTCTCAGGTGGTATATTTTAGGTTGCATCACATGAAATTGCTGTTTTTATGGGTCCCAAATGGTTGACAATTAATGGTTTCATCTAGTTAAACCTGTATGTAGGAGTAGAATGGCTGGAACAAAGGATTCTTCTATATTTAGTTTTAGAAAATGATGCTAAACAATATCCCAAAGTGTCTGTACCATTTTACATTTCCTTGTGCTGTGTGTGAGAATTGTAGTTGTTCTGTATTTTCACCAGTATTTTGTATTATTGATCCTTTTAACTTAAGCCTTTCTGGTTGTGCAGAGAGCTGTTTTATAAATGAGAAAGTAAAAGCCATAATTCTTAGAAACGTTGAAGATTTTGCTGTATTTAAAAAATCCAGAGAGTTCATTTATATTCTGATGTTACATTTACATTTTGCATTTTCTGATACTTACATTTTGCTTCACAGAAAATAGATGCACAAGCTATTGAAGAGTTCTACGGGTTGACATCAGATATCTCAAAGAATTCTGAGTCTGGTTACATCCTTTTCTATCAGTCTCGGGACTGAGGGAGAACCGTGATGAAGAGATACTTTCTGCCTCATTTCTTCTCTGGTTATTTTGGAAAGGATCAAGCACTGATTTTTCAAGAAAAGAGAAATGCAGGAAGCTCAGGGGGCAGTAGCACACTTTGCACACAATAAAGCAAAGACTATGATTAACAAGCTCTTCCTATCATGGTAGTTGATTTATTTGCTCAGGTATCATGCTGTCTGTGCAGTTCCGTACAAGGAAGTGAAATCAGAGATACCAGCTCCTCTTGTAAAACAGCCTTCCAGTAATCAACATGCATTTTCTCTTTATTAATTGCACCAATAATCATTTGAACTCCTTGGGGGGTGCAGTAGAAAGAATAAGGAATCTGTGCTATGTTGTATTGATAACTTAAGAAGATAATATTAAACACACTGCGTAAATTTGTCTGTGTTGAATATTATAGCAAGAATATCAATGATCTTTTCAGGCATGAACCAGAAATACTTTTGGGCCCAACACTTGCAGTTGCCTTCCTGGTGTTAAAAACAAAAAGCAAACAAACAAAAACACCTAACTAACAGATACTAGAATCCAGTGTCGGGAAGACAAATATGTTTTGCTTCTCTGAAGAAGCTTATAATAATATACAATATATGTATATGTAGGGAACAATTGGTCAAAAGTGGCTTTTTGTTTCCCCAAGGGGAAAGACTGGCTTTGTAATTATAATTTTTTTCCTTATTTATTTTACTTAAAACTGGTAGAGTTTAAGTATTGTATGAAGTGCCCATGATTCTGTCCGGAAATTTAAGGATATTTTTATTAGTTTTTGTCAGTTTAACTAGTCCTTTTGTTTGTTTCTGTTTTTACGTTGAATTTAAACTATTTTAAATCAGTAAAAAACCTTAAAAAATTGCAATGAGAGGAGGAAATTTTTTTTTCAGGAGGAACTGATATCTCTGGCTAAATATTTGTCCTTTTTTTATAGTCTTAAGTCAGTTATTTTATTAAAGTTTAATTTCAGTAAAATAAATTATCAAAAATTCTCTGTAGTTGTTGGAATGATAAAAACAGTTCTGGTGTAGAGGTGATGTACCAATCTTTAGAATTTCTAAATACGATTTCAAGTTGAGACCATGTTTGTTAGGGAAATTATAGCCGTTATGTTATTTTCATATTTCATTCTTTACCTTGGAAAGATGTGATCCATTCAGTATAACCCCAGCAGCCTGGATAGCTGGCTAAAAAACCCATTGAAGATTAAATTTAATGAATTAGATCAGGAATACAGAACATAATTCCCTTTCCTCCCCTTCTACCTTTACAAATCTTATTGGAAGAGTGTTCAGAAGTTAAACTCTGTGTTTGTTAAGACTTCATTCTGTTGGGAGTTTTAAGAATATATGTAATATATGTAAACCATTGCAGTTGACACTTATCCATGCAACAGTAAGTTGTCTGACAGTGGCCGAATGTAACTTGCAGAAAATAATTGAATATAAGTTCAGAATAATAGCAATCAGACCTTGGATTCTTTATGGAAAATCTTTTCAGGCAGTAATCTTTATTTTTAATTGCTGTAATTTTCTAAACTTAGTATTGTTGAATATGAAAAACAAACAACTGAAAGAATGTTTTTGTCTGCTGCTATTATTAACATTTATTATCTGTATCTTTTAGCTCAGGAAATGACTTCACCTATTCGTCTGAACAGATCTTTAACAGGGTCACTTAGCTAATTGGGCTGTTTAAACAGATGTGCTGGGAGGAAATTATGATGTATTTTGACAAATTGCTTTTTAAGATATAGTTTCTAAAGCCTTACCCTGACTGGAATTGTTTTGTACAAATTATATAGCCTGCCAGCGTTGCACAGAGAATCACAACCAAGAATGTGGAGAAGGTCACAGCAGTGGAAGTGGATATACTTTTTATTATGAGGGCTTAAACCAAATTGTCTTGGAATTTAAAGCTATATTTCTGCAGCTTTCAGTACAAAGAAGAGAAGTAAAATGAAGCTGAATCAGTTTTTACACAAGTTAGGCCACAATATGTATAAGAAAGGTAGATGAAGTCATTTGCATAAAGGTACAGCATTAGAAATACTATGTTGTGATTTTACATTTTGCATTTTAAAAAATACAGTAAAGGCCAAGGTTGAATTTCATGTTAAAGCAAGTTATAGCATTCTTTTGAGTTAATGGTAGTCACACACTGTTCATATCTACACCATGTTTTATAGTATGATTGTCAAGGGAGGGACTGTGGGGTGATGGTTCTCAGTTTACTTTTTTACTCTTAGTGCAGTGGCATCTAAGTAAAATGTTTCAAAGAGTATCAGAAACTCAGTATACTTTAAAAACATAGGGGCTAGGATTGTGGGGGGAAATGCAGATAAAGGAAGAAAGAAGAGTGACCCATATAGAAAGCAGTGTGAGGTTGTCTATTGGTGGAATGTGAGTTGAAATGAGGGGCGGGCTTAAGTTGTAAATGGTGACTGATTGTGCTCTAACTGTATTAAGATTGCTATCCCATGTTTTGTCTGTTGGAATACAAATTTCTATAAATGATCATAACTGAAAGTAAATATTCTAAGTTAAATTTCACTTTGAAGTCATATAGTTTCTGTCTTGGAAACTTCACCTATAGAAGATTACATAAGACAGAGGCCATGGGCTTCAGGAAAAGGGAAAAAAGCAAATGTGTAATATATGGGTCCTATTGCCTCTATCCATCAGCATAGGGTTTTTTTTTCTTTCCTCGATGGCAGTAGAAAGACCTCATTTTCATAACATACTACTCTTGACACTTTCTTTAAAGATACTTTTCATTAAAAGATTCTCTCGAGGTATTTAACTGAGAGCTGGGAGGCTAAGGCGCTCAGGTCCTGGCTCTTCGGTGAATTTAACTGTGTGACCTTGGGCAAGTCACTTAACCTCTCTGTGCTTCAGTCTCCCTATCTTGTAAAATGGGAGTAATACCTACCTCACAGGGTTGTTGTGGGGATTAATTAGATATAATGTCTGTAAAGCATCTAAGGTTCTTGAAGAAGGCGCTATATAAATACAAAATAATATCTATTAAAGTTGGTTTATTTGTGTTTGTGTGTTTTTAAAGTGTGTTTTTTCCTTTGTGCCTAAATGTATTTGGAAATTGGAAGTGTACATTTTGGAAGTGTCTTAGAGCTTTTGCTCAAAGGTTATTTTTGTTATCCAAAAATTTAAAAACTGTCCTTTAAACACTTTTTAACAATTAATTTTTTTGGTTAAGGTATATTTATTGAGGTAATGTTGGTTTACATCACAGTACACGTCTCAGGGTATCGATATATACCTCTGCAGATGTGTTATTCACCATACCCACCACCAAAACCCCTATAATCCTCCTCCATTGGATCCCCCCATCCCCTGTACTCCCATCCCACTATACTCCTTTTCTGATAGCCTTCGTTATAGTCCATCGTGCTCTCCCTGCTCCTGTCTTCATCCCTCCTCCTCCCCTTTCCTGCTGAATGCCTAAAATCTTAGAGGGGGAAATTCTCTGAAAGTCACTATTCCTAGCGCTTCTCCCTTCCAGTGTGCCCCCTTAAAATCAGCCTGTACCTGAGTGCTCCTGTTGTTTAGTTACTTAGTCGTGTTGCCGACACTCTTGTTTATTCATTAATCTCTGAAAGTATTCCTGGAATAAACACAGTCATGGGTAGTGGGGGCCTAAGACTGTATTCTCTAGAAAAGAATGCTTCTGGATCACATGCTTCATTCTGAATTTTTAATAAATGAAATTTTCTATATTCAAGAGGATTTTTTTATAAACTTGAAAACCCAAGACTGCTCTATTTCAAGTTCCCTTGTTACCTGGTACCTGCACATGCTATTTTAAAGCTTTCCCACCTCTCTCTCTTTTTTTTAACTTTTATTTTTTTAATTTTTTAAAAATTTTTTACATCATTATTCATTTTTAAGCGATATTTGCTTCCCCCCACCCCCTCAGGTGTAGTCCCCATAGAGTTTCCTTCCCCAATGCACCCGTGCACCATCACCTCAGTCCCTTGTGTTCCTCCCTCCCCCACTATGATCCCTCTCCCTCCTCCTCCCCTGCAGGATGTCTCTGATTTATAATTGTCTGTTTTTGCTTTATTGTGCTTTGTACTGTTACTATTTTTTTACACTGATGTCTTATTTGGTTCCCCTATATTCCTGACATCTTACTACCTTTTTGCATTTCCATCTTTAGTACTGCTAAAGTAACAGCCCATCATTTTTGAATTGATAGTAGAATGCCTTATATTTGACTTTTTACTTGACAGCCTTTAATGAGGCAGTGATAATTTATAAGAGAGGAAACCAGGACTCTTCAGAAGTTTTCCCAAAGTCAACTGGAAAGTAGCAGATACAGTTTTAACCATGGGTGTCATTAACAAAAGATGTACTATGGGAAATACACATAAAATTTTTAACCATTTTAAAGTGTACAATTAGTGACACATTCACAATATTGTACAGCTTCCACTACACTATCCTTAATTTTTTCATGTTCCCAAACAGAAATTCTGCATTAAGCAGTAAACTCCCCAGCCGCTAGTAACCTCTTTTATATCTTATGGATTTGACTCCTTTAGGTACTACATATAAGTGGAATTATGTATTTGTCCTATTGTGTTTGACTTAATTCACTTAATATAATGTTTGCAAGGTTCTTGCATGTTGTAGCATATGACTGAATTTAGTTCCTTTTAAGGATTGAGTATTCCATTACACAGATATTTTGTCTGTCTCTTGATGGACTTTGGTTTTTGTTTTCACTTTTTGTTTACTGAGAAAATGCTGCTGTGAACAGTATCTGTTTGAACCCCTGATTTTAGTTTTTAGGTATATTCTAAGAATTGCTGGATCACATGGTGGTGATCTGTTTAACTGTTTTAGGAGCTATCTTTATTGTTTCCACACAGGCGGCACCATTTGACGTTCCTACTGCACCACCAGGGTTCCAGTTTCTCTGCAGCTTTGCCTACACCGCTGTTTTGTTGATAGTGGCCATCCCAATTGGTATGTGATATCTCGCTGTGGTTTTGATTTGCATTTCCCCAATGATTTAGTGAAGCTTAGCACCTTTTATGTGCTTTTTGTATGAGATGATGATATGACTATATATTCTTCTGCCCATTTATAAAATTGGATTTGTTGGTGTTGAGCTTTAGGGATTCTCTTTATCAGTTTAGATATTAATCCCTGTTCAGAGACACAACTTGCAAGTAATTTGTCCCATTTTGTGGGTTGCCTTTTAAACTATTAGATGGATAGTATCCTTTGATGCACGAAAGTTTTTAATTTTGATGCAGTCCAAATTATTTTATCTTTTATTGCTTATATCTTTGGTTTCATATCCAAGAAACCATCACCAAATACAATGTCATGAAGCTTTTCCTTTATTTTTCTTCTAAAAGTTTTATAGTTTTAACTCTTTTATTAGGTCTTTGACCAACATTGGGTTAATTTTGGAATGCTGTGTAGTTAAGGGTCCAACTTCATTCTTTTGCATATGGATATCCAGTTTTTTAGCACCACTGTTGAAAAAACTATTCTTTCCCTATTGAATGATCTCAGCACCCTTGTTAAAAATCAGTTGGCCATGTGAACAAGATTTAGTTTTGGGCTCTATTTCATTGATCAGTATGTCTGTCCATATGCAAATGCCACTTTTTTAAAAAATATAGCTTAATTTCTTTTAAATGGATTAGTGCACTTAGTTTTATTTTTTTAGATTTATTTATTTATTTATACAAGCACTGGGTACCGTCAGAAGCACGGGAGGGTGAGAGAATTCACTAGAGCCAGAGTGGGGAGCAGAACAGGCAGGCGGACCAAAGACACTGCTGAGGGGAGCAGCGGGCGTGGCAGGAGAGGTCTGTGCGCCGTGTGGGACCCTCACCCGGCGGCCGGGGATTGAACCGGCTCTGCAGAGGCTGCGGGCAGCTTCGCAGCCCAGCGCTCAATTGCTGTACCACCAGGGAAGGCCCTAAACTGTAGCTTTGTAGTAAGTTTTGAAAACAGGAAGTGTGAAGCCTCTAACTTTGTTGTCGTTTTTTAAGATTGTTTTGGTTATTCAGGGTCCTTTGAGGTTCCATATGAATTTTAAAATGTTTCTCAGTTTATGTAAAAATTGCTTTTTGGATTGTTGATAGGGGTTGCATCACATCTGTAGATTGCTTTGAGTAGTGTCCTTTGAGCATATTGGTTCTTCCAGTCCATTAACATGAAATGACTTTCCTTTTTTGGTGTGTGTAGTCGTTTACTTATATCAGCAATGTTTTCTAGTCGTAGGTATATCAGTCTTTTACTGCCTTGCTTAAGTTATTCCAAAGTGTTTTATTCTTTTTTATAGATTTTTAAATTTTATTTTTGCATAGAAGAACTGGGGTGTAGGCCAGAGTTGTGGGCGTGGACTCAACTGAGACAGAGTGGGGAGCAGAACAGGTGGAGTGACTGAAATACGTTGCTAAGTGGAGCAGCAGGTGAGACAGGAGAGGTCTACTGTGCCATATGTGGTTTAGCTCCCCAGGGGAGTGTCAAACTCAGGCCTTACTGGGTGATTGCACTGAGACTTAACCCCTAGGCCACCAGGGAGACCTTTCTAAGTGTTTTATTCTTTCCAATGCTATTATAAATGGGATTGGTTTCTTAATTTTATTTTCAGGTTGGTTGGTGTTAGTATATATAAATGGAACTGATTGTATATTAATTTTGTATCCTGCAATTTTGCTGAGTTTTTTCTAGTAGTCTTTGTTGGCATCTTTAGGACTTTATGCATATAAGATCTTGTCATTTGCAAACATAATTTTAACTTATTTTCCAAATTTAGAAACTTTTTAAAAAATATTTATTTGTGCATACAAGAACTGGGGTGTAGGCCAGGGGTGGGGGACTGTGAGAAGATTCACCAGAGACAGAGTGGGGAGCATAACAGGTGGATTGACTGAAATCTGAAATACACTACTGAAGGGAGCAGCAGGCAAGACAGGAGAGGTGTGCTGTGCCATATGAGTTAACTCCCTGGCCAGGAATCCTACTCAGACAGCAGTGGCTGCCAGTAGCTTGATAGTGCTGAGGCTTAACCCTTTGTGCCCCCAGGGAGGCCCAAGAAACCTTTTATTTTTCTTGCTTAATTATTCTGACTAGAACTTCTGACAGTATATGAATAAAAGTGGTTAAATCAGGCATCCTTTCCTTAAACCTGACGTTAGAGAACAGTCTTTTACCATTGAGTATGTGATAGCTGAATTTTTCATGTATGACCTTTATCATATTAAGGAAGTTTCTCTCTCTCTTGTTTTTATCAAAGTGTTTCTATTTTATCAAGCACTTTTCTTTATTGAGAGGATCATGTGGACTTTTTTTTTTTGTTTGTTTAATGTATATTACAGTGATTCATATTTTCACCTTTACATTCTGGGAATAATTATTTTTCCACCATGGTACAGATAATCCTTTAAAAAAATTGCTGGATTTGCTTTATTGGTGGTTTTTGTGTGAATATGTTAAAGGGATTTGCTGGTCTGTAGTTTTCTTACAGTCTGAGGCTTTGATATCAGGGTAATGTGGGCCTCATAGAAGAGTTAGGAAATGTTCCCTCTTCTGCAGCTGTTTAGGAAGAGTTTGAGAATATCAGAAGATTTTGCAAATAACTATTATTTGTATGCTCACTGTAAGTGATTATTAAGAATGTCAAGGGCATATTCTTTGTCCTTTAGGAATCCAAAGGAAACATTAAGCTGCTAGGAAAATCAGCTATAGGCAGGTGTCATTGACCCAGACCCAAAGAGAATCTGGAGATCAAAAACAGTCACAGGGGGCTGGGAATATTTAGTATCACAAGAATTAAAGAATGTTAACTCATGATAGTGTTTGGTAATAGAATTTGTAAGCCAGCTTCAAAATTCTTGTTTCCGTAATCAAAGACTAAATTACTCTCAAGCATTCTCACTCAAGCAACCACTGTGGATCCCTGATTCCTGAGAAGTCAAGATTTTCTTTCCTATACCACATGCCATTTATCAAGACTCACCTTAGTAATTGGTTCCTTTCTTAAATGTCCTCACCCATTGTCAGTGATTTGCCCTG